CAGCCATATGCCCCAGGTCCTGGCTCAAGTTTCACTGCTGAGCTAGGGGGAAAAAATGCGGGCACTGGAAATGGTGCCAGAAAGCACAGAAGCCGAAATTGGACATGGTGGCACATGCCTGTAATCCCAGCACTCTTGGGAGGTGGAGGCAGGAGAGTCAGGAGTTCAAAGTCATCTTCAGTCCCATGATGAATTCAACTAGCAGGGGCTACATGAGACCTCTGTCCCCCCAAAACAAACTAACAAGTGGAGGCATGCAGAAATACTGTCCTCTGAAAAGGTCCACTGTTCCCAGACTCTAGTAGCTACCTCTGTTAGTTTACTTCCTGTTGCTGAAGTAAAACTCTAACCAAAACCTATTTGGGGACGAAAGAGTTTCTTTGGCTTACAGTCAATCGTTGAGGAAAGCCAAAGCGGGAACTTGGGGCGGACTCTAAAGCAGAGACCACGGAAGAAGAAGCTAACTCAGTGTGCTTTTTCATATAACTCAGAACCCCCTGTCCAGGGTGTCACTGCCCATAGAGGCCCTCCTCATCAATCATTAGTTAAAAAAAAAAAATTCTCTCTTCCCAGGTGACTCTAATTTGTGTCAAAAAAAAAACCCAAAAAAACAAAAACGACTAACATCTCCCCCAAACCTTGATTAAAAGCTTAGCCATTACTGTTTATGATGCTTTTCAATTTTTTTTCAAAAAGCATTTTTATTTTATGTATATGAGTGTTTTGCCTGTGTGTATGTCTATGCATCAAGTGTATGCCTGGTGCACACAGAAGCCAGAAAGGGCATTGGATCCCCTAGGACTGGAGTTGTAGATGGTTATGAGCTGTGGTCTAGGTGCTGGGAATTGAACCTAGGTCCTTTAGAAGAGCAGCCAGTGTTCTGAACCACTGAGCCATTTCTGAAGCCTGTGATACTTTTCCATAAAGTCTATGGCTTCTTCCCTGGCTCTGGGCCTTTGCACATACCATTCCCTCTGCCCTGGTAGACCATCCTGGCTACTCTTAGCCTGATGACTTTTTCTGTTGCCTTTTTCTCCTTGTTGTGATCTAACCCAGTGCCCCAGGCATGGTAGGCAAGTGCTCTACCACTGAGCTGTATACTTGGCCTGTCTGATAACTCTTCAAGTGTCAATACTTCTAACAGGCCTTCCTTAAACTTCCAAACTAAACCAGGTCTCTCCTGTCAGAGAGCCCCACATTTTCCTTCCATCCTTCTGTTATTTAACTTTAAACTCATACAGGATCATTCTTTTATTGCAAGCATGCAGCCCCCGGGACCATTAGATTATAAATTCCAGAGACCTGATATATCTGTTCACAACTGTCTTACCAGTACCTGGCACAAATCACCCTTAATAGATTACTAAGTGAATGAATACTAGAAATAGGCTTATGGTAGTTAGTTTTAGGACCAGCCTGTTAGATCTTTTAATTGTGTCTTTTTTTTTCTTGTTTTCTCTTGCAATAATTTTTCCCTTATCTTTCTGGGTTTGTTTGTTTGTTTGTTTGTTTGGTGGTGGGGTGGTGGTTTGTTTGTTTGTTTGAGTCAAGGTCTCTCTGTGTAGACTAGAATTTGCTCTGTAGACCAAACTCACTCTGACTCTGAAAGCTAGGATTAAAGGCATGTGCCACCACTGCCTGGCTTCCTTCCTTCCTTCCTTCCTTCCTTCCTTCCTTCCTTCCTTCCATCCTCCCTCCCTCCCTCCCTCCCTCCCTCCTTCCTTCCTCTCTCTCTCTCTCTCTCTCTCTCTCTCTCTCTCTCTCTCTCTCTCTCTTTCTTTTGTATCTTTTTTTGAGACAGGATTTTTCACTACAGTCCAGGCCTAGGAATTCACTATGTAACACAGATCGCCCATGCATTTACTCCAGTCCTCTTGAATCAGCTTCCCACGTGCTGGAATTACAAGCATAAGGCATCAGTCCTATCCAGCATCCTTGGAAAGGTGAAGGACTCTCTCTCCCTCCATTTGCATTGCTCTCAACAAGTTAGTGGGTTCACGCAGAGGAAGGGGCTCATTCACGCACTCGTGTCCTCAATCTTTTAAAGTAGTTTCTTGGGGCCGGAGAGATGGCTCAGCAGTTAAGAGCACTGGCTGCTCTTCCAGAGGACCTGGGTTCAATTCCCAGCACCCACATGGCAGCTCACAACTGTCTATAACTCCAGTTCCAGGGGATCTGACACCCTCACAAAGAAAAAACACCAATGCACACACCAAAAAAATTAAATAAGGTAGTTTCTCAAGCTCAGCACCACTTACGAGTTGGGCTGATAATACTTTCCTGTTGAGGAGTGTCCTGTTTATTACAGGATGTTCACCAATAAACTTGGCTTCACATAACCCACTATAAATCAATGGTGTCCACTTTCAAAATGCCTCCAGATACTACCCCATGCCTGCAAAGTCATTCCTGATCAAATGTCTTTAAATGTAAGCTTCAGGCCTTTATCACTTTAAAAAGAATTGTGCTTAGAAATTAAATTGCTGAGTGATGCCCGAGTTACAAGAATTGCACCACCACAATTGGATCAAAATCGTGCCCATTTCTTGCTTGTTTCTGTAGTACCCCTCCCCCCCCCCATTTCCTTTGAAAAGGTCATTAGTGATGGTGTGATGCAAAGCAATATTGTGATCTTGGAAATTCAGCTCCCTGGATTGTCCTAGAAAGATGAAGGAAAGGAGATGGCGTTTCTGAGGAAACCAGCGCCTCTGAGACCCCTCGGGAATTGGCAGTTCCCTACAAATTTTCTAGGGGCATGTCCCGCAGGACAATAAAAGGGAGACAAACAGCCCATTCTGGCATGCTTTTCAGGATCTCTCACTCCAAACAAGAAAGTCTGAGAGGCCTGGTAAAAATAAATATGGCTTACTCCTCCTGGCATACGAACAGTTTTTGACAGCCAAGACTTAGCTCACCCTAGGGGGTGACCCAGGCAAGGACTTTGCACGAAGTTAGTTTTTTACCCATTGATATTCCCAGTGTCTCACAGCGGCCAGGGATGGCTCTGCACACTTGTACTGTGCTGAAGCATGGTGAAGGACTTGGGATGCACACTGAAAATGCAGTCTCACTCTCTGAGTGAGACAGGGACAGCCAGTCCCCCGCTTCCTCTCCAATCCCAGAAAACAACACAAATCATTCCTCTGGAAAACGACCTGTCCTTTGCACACAGAATAGAAACTGTTTATACATTCTTAATCCCCTGACATTGAAAGTATGGGGAACGTCTGTTCTGGATTCTTTTGGGACAAATGTATTCATTATACCACATGTCCCTAGTTGTCATTTGGAACAAAATATGGTCTCGGGAATCACAAGGTCTTTCTCATCAGTTTTAAAAAGTGAGTTTTCCTAAGCAGCGTATATTGAAATCCTGAGAACAACCAAGAACTGAATTAGGAAGGTAGGGGCAGGCTGAGGAATCGGCCTTCCCTTTTCTCTCCTTTGACATCGGGCTAAAATGACAGATGGAGGGATGATAAGTAAGCCCAACAGATCCACGGTCTTTCCCAAGCACTAAAACCACATAAACCTTATCTGATTCTACTGCCCCCTTCAGTCTCCAAGAAGAATTACACAGCAAAAAAAAATCTAGACATTGGTTACTTATATGGTGATGCTAAGTTCAACCAAATTGAATCTAGGCAAAAATTTCGGGGGTGGGTGGTGTGAGACACAGCATAAAGTACAGACTAAGAAAGAGTTAATATCACGTTTTTCTGTTATTGTAGCTTTCACAAAGTATGCTTAATGTTAGCTTTGGTCAAAGATGGCAATTTAAAGTGAAAGCCTTGGAAAATGGAAAACAAGGATGAAATGTCAACCTACCCATTTGGAGAAAATGCCTAATATCCACTTTGCACTATACCAAATTACTTCCTTCTCAGCTAAATTCAGGCTAAGATGATTGAAAACCAGACGATGTTGGCATATCAGCTTGGAAGGGAAAGGGATACCTCAGGCCCTAGGAAAGTTGGGGGGTGTAGGCATACAGCAACAAAACAACCTGAGAACAGGAGAGGCAGCAAAGTTAACGAATGCCTACTAGTATACACGGGGGAGCGGGATAGGCCACAGAGATAACATCGGAAATAGTTTACAAATGTATGCAGTAATCCAAAGGTTTCATATTGCTGGAAGGCCCTACAAACGGAAGCTGAAGGAAGGCCGAGGTCTTGGGGGAGTGCAACTCCTAGCACGGATTTATTTCCTTACCCCCACCCCCACCCCTTCCTGGCCAGGATCAGAAAGTCAAAGATGGTGAAGAGGCTAACAGCGCTGATTTACAGACAGTGAGGAGGAACTGAGTCTGTCTGGGCCAAATCTGGACGTCTGAACCGGGGCGACAGGACCCAGACAACCTTACCTCAGGAAATGAGTAAATGAAAAGAGGAGGTCGCCGAATTATTTAGCCCTAGAACAACACTGCCTAGACCGGGGGAGGGGCCGGGGTGCAAGAAGAGAAACTTCAGAAGAGGAGTTTTGACAGTGAGAACACTAGTTTAGACCAAGCACTGCAGGCCCCCTGATGTCCCTTGTTTGATGTCAATAAAGGCCGAGAGAATTATGCACTCGCAAGCCTTGCATATTTCTGAGACATTACAATAAAGTCTGGAGTTTGGGCTGGTAGGGGGGCCGGGGTCACGCCCAGGCGACTTGGGTCAGCACGGGTGCTCCTCCCTGATGTAGAACTAGAATTAACCCGGGCTGAGAATGGCCACTAGGATAATTTTCTTTTTAAGTTGGGGACATTTGAGAAGCAGTAATGGAGACAGATAAGGGGCTCTCTCCGGAAGGCTAGGAATGTTGGGGCGGCCGGAGTAGGAGCCAGGGCTAGTGAAGGAGGCACTGGCGGGTGGGGTCCTGGGACTGGGGGGCGAGGGCAGAGGGCGGGAAGGGGCCGGGCCAGAGCCGGGGGCGGGACCAGGCGCGGTGGCGGCGGCGGCGGGGGCTGAAGCGCGGGGGGCGGGGCGGCCGGGCTCGGGACACCCCCTCCCGGTCCCCTGGCGGGGCGGCTTCGGCTCCGGCAGCACTGGAGGCGGCAGCAGCCCGGAGGGCGACTTGCAGGGCGCGCCAGCCGCGCGGGACCCGGGACGCTTTCCACCCCAGGGGGACCCTCCGCTGATTCTCTCAGCCCCGGCGTCCCGTAGGAGCCCGCGGGACCCCCGGGCCGGCAGGGAGCGCCGGCGGCGGCCGCAGCACCATGAGGCGATGGTGGGGCGCGCTGCTGCTTGGCGCCCTGCTCTGCGCACACGGTAAGCTGCGTCGCAGCGCCCGCGCCGACCGGGCCACCGGGAAAGTTTGTCCCTGAGTCTGGCCGCTGCAGGACTCGCCTCCCGGGAGCGGGACGGCGCAGGCTGGGGCCTGAGATCCCAACCTCGAGCTCACTTCAAGCAGTAACCCTGGCAGAGCGTGCGGAGGAAAGCAAAGAGGAGCTCCCGCAGCTCTTCAAGCCCGAGAGGGGACAGTGGTGGAGGAACTCGTCCCCGCTGTGGTCTGGGCCGAGTAGCCTACGATCCGATCCGAGACGCTCGCTCGGCTTCCATCGTTGCTCTTTAAAGAGCTAGGGGCTAGTTCCCTTTCAGGTTAAGGCAGGGCTTCTGTGTCCCTGGTGCGTGCGAATGAATGTGTGCAAAGAAAGGCAGGCGGGGAGGACGGTCGCTAAACCCATAAATTGTAAATAGTCCTCTTTCCAGGATCTGTGGGATCCCGGGTGGACTGCGGAGAGGGGCCCAGCAGAATCTGAGTTACTTGAACACCCGGGATTCATGGACTTGGGGAGCAATTCCTCGAACTCCGGTTATCTCCTAGGGTCTTTGGTCATATTTGCTTGCAACATCTCCCCTAAGTGGAGTTTTGGGTTCCCTCTCCTGGCTGCGGCCAATCAGCTTCCTGCCCCGGATCCTCCCCAAGGGAGGGGTGGGGAACAGTGATGGAAAAGAGGTTGGGGAGGAAATTTGGGAAGAAACTGCTGGAAGGCTCCGGCAGATCCGTCCTGGCCGGGGTAGAGGGCAGGGGGGTGCGTTCTTAGGGAACTTCCAAAGGCAGCCTCCCGGCCCATGCGATGGGGCCTTGGCCTCGGGGGAGCTGGGCGGATGGCAGCGGCACTGCTGCTTCATCTGCTCCTTATTAATAACGTGTTCGGTGCCCGGACGCAACTGTTGTGTCTACTTAGGACTCCAGCGGAATCTGCCTCTCTGCAGCCGCTTGGGAACATGGGTGCACCCTGTGATTTAGCAGCTGCCTCTGAGTTTGTGCCCAAAGATCAAAGATCGATCTTGGAACTCCAACCATATTCAGCCGCCGGCTTTTCCACGTGGGGGAGATCCAGTTCTTCCGATTCTCCGGGCTGCTGGACGAGGGGGTGGGATTCAGAAAGAGCGGTCTGCAGACCCTGGCGGTGCACGGGTTCTTTCTTTCCCTTGGAGGAGCTCGTGTGGAAAGTGCAGATTTCGGAACTTGCCTGGCAGGGTGTGGAGCTGTCTGGGCACTTGTTTTAAAGATTGTTTTAGCTCCCGAATCCAAAACAGAGTTCTGGTGTCTGTTATTTAAACTACGCGTGGGTTTTCAATGCCCTTTTCCATGTGGTATCCAGCGCTGATGGAGTCCTTTCTCTCCGAGGAGTGGTAGCCTGGCTGACCCACGTTCCTCTTCGCGCCTCGCTCTCCTCCTCCCGGGCTCTCTCCTCGAAGGTTATTTGTAGCCTCTTCGGCGTGTTGGGACAGCAGCCCTACTGGGGTAGGAATGTAACTGTTCTTCCCACCACATGGGCCCCTTAAAGGGACAGCTATGCTTTTGGGGGGTTTTCCCCCTTCGGGCTGCAAGGGAAGGGGATGGAACTTTCCTCTCGGCCCCCTGGAGGAAGTTTTGAAAAAGATCAAGGGAAATAGCTAGGCACTAGGAAAAGGGGGGTGGGGTGGGGGCTAAAACGGATACCAACAAAGCCAAAGAGGAGATTGTCGCCTTCTGCCCCAGGGAAGGGGGAGCTGGAAGGTTCCGGACTGAGACTGGCCAAGAGGAATTCACTGCTCCAGAGCTGCTGTCAAAACTACATACATTACATCTGCATGGAGGATGGGGGTGAGAACAGGGGCAGAGAACCGTAGATTAGTAATGCTTTACAGAAAAAGCATCGGAGGGGTCTTGGTGGCTTGTTTAGGTTCATTTTTAGAGGAAAAGGTTTAATAGAAATTTCTAAGTTGGGAGACTTCCTGTGCACACGGAGTAGGCAGAGGTAGGAAAATTTGCACTTTGCGGGGCCTAATACTGAGCCGTCCTTGGAGACCCATAGAAGACAGATTTGCAGTGAGACTGAGCGGTTGCAGAGTCTGCAACCACCACCCCACCCCCACCCCCCAAATCCCACTAGGATCCCCAGCATTAAGTCCAGGCCCGGAAGAGGTGCTCCTGAAAAGCTTTGCCCTGCTTTGCTTACATAGACAACCTCAGCTAGGAGTGAATTCCACACTAGACCAAGATGTTTGTTTATATTCTATTAGTCCTTGGGGGGTTTTCCTAGAGCCTCCCCGTCTGGTGTTGGCTTAGATCACAATCCGTTCTTCAACATATAGAAGGATGTGGCTAGAGAGATGTCTCCGTGGTTAAGAGCACTGGATGTTCTTCCAGAGGACCCCGGGTTCGTTCCCACCACCTACTTGGCAGCTCACAACTGTCTGTAACTTCAGTTCCAGGGAATCTGACACCCTCTTCTGGCCTCTTCGAGTACTTCACACATGTGGTGCACAGACATATATGCAAGGCAAAACCCTACCCACACACATAAAAATAAAAAAATAACAAAACTTTTGAAAAAGGTGGAAAAACTAGACATGGTGGCTTATCACTTGGGAGACGGAGGCAGGAGGATGGAAGCAAGGGTGAGGCCAGTCTGGGCCTCACAGTTTGAGGTCATCCCAGACTGTATGTAGAGCAAGACCCTTTCCTCATAAGACAAAAAGCCTGTCTCCATGCCCAGTACTTGGTAGGTGGAAGCAACAGGATTGGGAGTTCAAGGTCATCCTCAGCTACCTTAGGAGTTCAAGGCTAGCTTGGGCTTCATAAGACTCTGTCTCAAAACTAAAGCTAGCCGGGCGGTGGTGGCGCACGCCTTTAATCCCAGCACTCGGGAGGCAGAGGCAGGCGGATCTCTGTGAGTTCGAGGCCAGCCTGGTCTACAAAGTGAGTTCCAGGAAAGGCAAAAAGCTACACAGAGAAACCCTGTCTCGAAAAACCAAAAAAAAAAAAAAAAAACTAAAGCTAACAACAATAAATGCTCTTGTTTTAAAATTTTAAGATTTTGAAAGGAAACTTAATGGCTAGTAATAGCCATGGGTATTTTCATCCTGTGAGTTACAACTGCAATGTGTGTAAACCACCTTGGAAGTCTTTTCTAGGGAAGTGAACACTGACAGTTCTGCCCAGAAGTGCTTAGGTAGATTTTAAAAAAAAAGTTTCTGAAGATGAGTTCAAAATAATTGAGCTTGAGGCTAGTCTTATTTACACGTGGTTGTTGTCATGGCTATGGTTGTCATGGTACTCGAGTGACCTTGCCCTTGATCCCTTAGACTTGTGCAAGATGCTTGGCTTGTCGCTTATTCTGGATTTCCTCTTCTGTCCCCTGTTGGATATCAGATGACATCTTTGCAACTGGCACCTCGTATTAAGAATAACAGGTGCAAGGGAACGAAGTCAGGCCATGTCTGACACAAAGCACGTTGGGCATGCTCATCCTCTGGGCCAGCAAAGAACACAGGAGGTCACAGAGGACAGGATGCTTCATAGATCTTTGCATAAGCATTCTACAGACTAACTGCTAGTCTTGATCCCTAAGATGAAGGGTGATGGGCTGTTGCTGCTTCTTAAATAGACAATCAATACCGGGCGGGCGGGGGGGGGGGGGGGGGGGGGGGGGGGGCGGGGTTCTTGAATGAGAACAGAGTAATTTCAGAAACTAAAAAATGTATCTTGTCTTATTACTGGACATATCTCAAATCATAGGAAAGGTCCATGTCTTTGGTCAGCTGGGTCTGTTAGCCTGTTGCCAGCTACCATCTCCACATCCTTTGGTATAGTGTAGCCAAATTTTGTCACAGATGCATGGATGGGGGTGGGGGGGCATGTGAGTCCCAGGCTGTATCCTGGTGGCCATCTTCTCTCCAACAGTGAATGTCTTTCTCTCCTTAGCCTAGTGGGATTCAGTATCCCAAGAAAGACTAGGTGCTGAGGTTTAGTTGGCAGAGCCTGAGTTTGGCCCTAAAAATAGCACTGATGATTACCTACGCTTGTTGCTGTTCCTGAAGCCCAGAGCTGGTGTGGTCAGGCTCATTCTCCCCAGTACACCCAGGAGCACTGCCCAAGCTGAGCATTGCACACAGGCCTTTGTTCATCCACTCAGCAGACATGCCTGTCAAACTCTGTGAGAAAGCACAGGCAGACTTGGCTTTGACACCTGGCTCTTCCTGAACTTTAGGGCTCTTATTTGCAAATGAGGACAGAGTGAGGGAGGGGAGTGGTAATACATTTTCACCCGTGAAAATTTCAGACTGTAAAAATTAAGAGATGATAGAATGTTCAAATTATCCAGCCTGGAGCCGAACAACTGCTGTGTAGCTACAGGCCTGGATAAATGTCAACTGTTTGTTAGTAATTGTGCCTAAATGGATCAGAGATGATTCTGGGGTTTGGAATGTGGGGGACAGGTAAGTTACACTACAGTGTCTCATATGGTAAAGGAGGCTTGGCCCTTCATTCATTTCTCCTGCTTTCCCCCAACCGAGCTCTTTCTTCTCTATGAAACAACCTGTCCGTCCTTTCTTTCTTTCTTTTTTAAACTTGTCTTTTCTTTTTCCTTTTTGAAAACTTGGTGAAACCTAAGAGTAGTTCACTCCTGTCCACACTTCCAGAAAAGAGGTTTATTACCCTATGAAGGGAGGTTTGGGGAGCCTGCTCCAGAGAGAGAGGAACTCCCTTGGGAACATCCATGTTGCGAGGTCAGAAGTGAGCCCTACAACTTCTCACCCTAAGATTGCTGTGACCCAGGGTGAGAGGGGTTGCCCGAGGTCTCTTGTAGCTGGAACAGTTTAGAATTCCAACCTGTCCCTCCCACTGGCCTGCGGAAGGAGTCAGGGCCCAGAGCTCTAGAGGTAGTAATTGCCCCACTTTGGGGGCTGGGCTGTTGGGAGCATGCTTCCTTCACGGCCACAGTCTTCAGTCAGGAGTCCTATCAGTGCCTGAGATAACTGATGTGGGTCTGCAT